GGGGGAGATGTGTGTGTGTGTGTGTGTAAGAGAGAGAGAGAGACAGAGAGAGAGAGAGAGAGAGAGAGAGAGAGAGAGAGAGAGAGAGAGAGACGCAAGTAGCGGCGAGGGATATTTGTCTTTTGAGTTTTTTTTAGACGACGAATTTGTCGTCGTGAAGGACTAAGAATTTTTATTGCAATTGGTGGTCAGAAATGATCGAATTTGTGTCCGGAGATGACCGTTAGTGACATCAAAATTTTGAGGAAGCACTTTGGACGCACGTCACTGTTCGTGTGCATTCTTTTAGACGTCAACAATATCCCTGGGAAGGTGGATCACTTTTTGCCTATAATTGCGAACAACATTTTTTTCGTACACTCGACTTCGGATGTCGCTCCCGTTTCCGTCTGTCTCTCTCTCTTCTCCTCTGTGGTTCTTTTTTTTTTTTTTTTTCTATTTTTGTTTTGTTTGGAGTCTCCTTCGTCGAACTGTATTTGCGGAATGTCATCTCCGCCCCTCCCCCTCCCCCTCGCCTTCTTATTTATTTTGAATTTTTTTTCTTCGATGTGCTGGCAGTTGCCTTTTTTTTTTTTTTTTATGGGGTCTGCTTCGTCGAACTGTATTTGCGGAATGTCCTCTCCCTCCCCCTCGCCTTTTTTTGTTTTCCTTTTTTTTCTTCGATGTGCTGGAATTCCCTTTTTTTTTTTTTTTTTTTTTAGGACATTGGAAGGTGCTGCACATTCCGCTTTCTACTACTATATCTTTTCTTTTTGTCCGAGAGGGCTGTTTCTCTTCTAAAAGTGTATTTGTCAGCTTCTTCTTGTCTTCCTCTCTCTTTTCTCCGTCCCCGCTCTCTCCGGTCTTTAAGCTCTGAACCCTGTGCACTTCGCTCTTTTTTTTCTTCTTTTTTTTTGCCAGACGAGCTCTAGGCTCTTTTGTACTCCTTTTTTTTATTATTATCCAACTTGAATGTCGTTTTTTTTTTTTGTTTTGTTTTTGCCAAACGAATGCTTTATGAGGGGGCCATGTGCCGCCAAGGGTGCACACATAAAAATAGAAAAGGAGAGACAAAGACAGTAAAAATAAAAAAGGAGAGACAAAGACAATAAAAATAAAAAAGGAGAGAAAAAAGACAATAAAAAATTACTTACTTTTCCACACCACTTTGCGGTCTGATTTCTTGGTAAAAGGATTCATGGCTTAATATTAATGATTACTCCCTTGTGTTTTTTTTTTTGTTTTTTTTTTTTGAAGGATTCATGGCCTCACTCCCACTATTCACCAAATCTGTAAACTGTGGAGTTTTTATGGCGAATTTTGTGTTCAGCCTAGGCTACCAGCCGGGCCGCCCGGGTCCCGGGTGGCCAGCCCGTGCAAGGACCAGGGAAGGTCCCAGCAAAAAAAAAAAAAAAAAAAATCCAAAAAATCTGAAAAAAAACTATGTTATGGAGAAAAATAAACTGAACAACTTTTGCCTCAGGGTCACATCGAAATTCTTCACCAAATTTAGAATACAAATTAAAATTAAAAAATATATATATATCGTCACAAACAGAACTGCCCGGTAAACCGTAGGCAGAGAGGGAGAAGAGAGAAGAAGACAACAAACGAGGGGCTGTGACAAACTGTTTCGTCGGAGTTTCACCGACTCATCAGGAGGCTGAACCCTCTATATATATTTTTATTTTTTCTTAATTTTTTTGGCCCGGCCGGGCAAGTGACCCCGGGCCACTCTGGTAGCCTAGTGTTCAGCTAGAAAGAGGAATCGTGCGTTCATTTTTGTTTTTGTCGTTTTGGCTTCTTCTTTTAGTTTTTTTGAAAAATCTGAAGTGGGCAAATAATGGGAGGCAGGCTTTTATTTTGTTTTATTTTTTCCTGATGGGAGGCAAGCTTTAATTCCAACACCAGCCTCTGCAATGAGTAAATTACACACAGACTGGAATGAAATCAATGACAGGTTCAATTTTTTATTTTCATTTTTTTTATTTATTTTATTTTATATTATTATTATTATTAATTTGGACCATTTCTCGATTTATGCGTGTTATCCTTGCGCAGGGGCCATGCTAATCTTCCTTCTCTGTATCGTTCCAATTTGAACGGATGTCCCAAAGGACCCGGTTCAATTTTCAAAGCCAGTACAGATCAGAAGTCGGTACAGTTTTCGAAATGCCGCTCCTACTTTCGTTTGTTTGCCACATGCCTCTCCGACGGCCGACTTACCCTGTCATGCCCCTGGGGCCTCTGGAGTTTCTTGCAGGCCCCTGTCAGTGAGGGGTGCAACTTTCCAGCATGCCCCTGTGGCCGTTGTTGGCCCTCGCGGCGCTTTTGCCCTGGCCGTGGGAGGGTAGTTACCGGGGCATACAGGAAATTTGGAACCGGTGCCGGCAGGGGCATATTGAACATATTTCAGGCCCGAACGATGCCAGGGGTTTTTCGAAAACTTCAATCTTTGTCCGCGGGGAGCGACAGGGCAAGTCGGCCGTCAGAGGGGCATACCACAAAACAAAACGATGCCGGTTTTTTTCCCGAAACTTCAATCTTTGTTCGAGGGGTGCGAAAGCGTAAGTCGGCCGTCAGAGGGGCATGCCACAAAACAAATTGAAAGTCAGAGGGGCATTTCATAATTTTTCCGTCAGAAGTTTCAAGTGGCAGAAAGAATAGCACACACTGTCAAATGCCTGCTGCCCACAACTGCCTATCAACTTGTGCATCTATAACAGACGGGGCATCCATCCGGAACGACAAAAGAACCTCAGAAAAGGAATCATATCACATTTCCATATTCCATACAGTCTGCAAATTTATTCTTCGTATTATTCTTTTCACTCTGCAAATTTATTCTTCGTATTCTTTTCTCTCTGCAAGTTTATTCTTCCTATTCTTTTCACTCTGCAAGTTTATTCTTCCTATTCTTTTCACTCTGCAAATTTATTCTTTGTATTCTTTTCACTCTGCAAAATCGAAGAGGAATCATATCACAGATTCACTATTCCATATACAATCCGCAAATTTAAAGAGGAATCATATCACAATTTCAGCCATTTGACACCGAGAGAGCACACTAAAAATAAACAAGGAAGAGGATAAGGAATTTAAAGAGGAATCATATCACAATTCCAGCCATTTGACACAGAGAGAGCACACTAAAAATAAACATGGAAGCGGATAAGGAACATGCATATTGATGATCTGTGCTGCAGCACTCACATTGTGGAGGTGGTGGGATGTCTTCTGGATGAAAATGAGGGGCATGAGATGAATTTGGGAGCAATAATCCCACCACCTTGCATGAACCACAACTCTTTACCTTTCGCAGCCTCGCAGGTGAACGCCAAATTGCGAATATAACCTCATTACCAGACAATCTTTTCCAAAAGTTCTTTCTTTCTCGAAAAAAAAAAAAAAAAAAGTTCTTTCTTACAAAACTTCATATGAAAACAAGATTTCAACAACGTCAATTTCTTTCTCCGGTGGCTGGCCGCCGCCGGACCTAGGTGACTGGCAGTGCCAGCCACCACAGCGAAAGAAAAGAGAAAAGGTAAAGCCACAACAAACAAAAAGAGCGCCGGACCTAGGTGACTGGCAGTGCCAGCCACCACAGCGAAAGGAAAGAGAAAAGGTAAAGTCACAACAAACAAAAAGAGAAAAGAGAGAACGCGGGTGCTTTCGCAAAGCGTGGCCCGCAGTTTTTTTTTTTCCTACTCTGCCTCGGCATAGAGAGGATTGGAGGTAGTGAAGGTTTTAGTGAGCTCTGCAAGCAGCACAAGGATCTCAATTTCAAACCAACATAAGCCAACTGGCTACCGCTATCCTCCTGTGGATAGTCTGGAAAAACTGCTGTATACTTCATAGAGAAAGGCTGCAGACGCCCCCTTCCTCCCCCAGCCCCCCAAACACACACACACACACACACACACACACACACACACACACAC